GGGGGGGGGGGGGGGGGGGGGGGGGGGGGGGGGGGGGGGGGGGGGGGGGGGGGGGGGGGGGGGGGGGGGGGGGGGGGGGGGGGGGGGGAGGGGACGGGGGGGGGGGGGGAGAGAAAGGATGAGATGAAAGGGGGACAGACAAGAGGCAAACCGAGGCACAGTAGTGTATGAATGATAGCGAAGGGGAAAGGGGGAAGATGCGCACGAGAGGGCATTAAAGCTCCAGGACTTCAGGTAGTTGTTCAGGACCGTGTCTTCGAAGTTATGACTGTGGAGATGACAGGAAGAGAAGGGAGAAGGACAACAAAGGAGTGAGTGTGAAACGGGCAAAGGAGCCGGCCAGACGGAAATGCCCGGAAAGTAAGAAACCCCGCGAGGGGAGATGATGGGGTGCGTACTCCGGGAACATGGAGATGGTCACTTCAACGAAGGGGTTGCCAAACATAGCCATGATGTTCATGATGCCCCTGCACATGGTGTGTAGATGCGCGGATGTGAGCCCGGAAACGGGCGCAAGAGAGGGAGAAAGAAAGAGAGGAAAGTCAGTGGCCATACTGGCACCAGTAAAAAAAAAAAAAAAAAAAGAGGGCCCAGGGGGATGGGCGGGGGAAGGGGGCCCCCCAACGCACTGGTTTGTGATGGCATTCGGGTAAATATAGTCCTCGCCAGACAGGGGATACCAAGAGGGAATCAATGTGCTTGAGTAGTCGATCGACCCGTCAATGGCCTCGAGGCTGGTGGCGGCAGCAGCCTGCTGCAGGTGAGCCAGCGCCTCACGCGGCGATTCAGTGCCATCCCCGTCTCCCAGCGCCGGTGGCCAAGTATCATGCTGCTTGGAGGCCACCGTGGCCGAAAGGGCCAATGTGCGAACTGCCTGGGGCGTGAGCGGGCGGACCACGACATTGTTCAGCCCGCGGGTGATGGCCACAGTAGCCAGATCATCCTCGTAGGAAGAGGTGAGCCCTGTAGGGCGAAGAAGAGGGGAGGGGGTGAGTGTTTGCAAATTCACCGGAAGAACCGAGGCAGAAGGGTCGAGAGGGCAGCACACGCACAGACAATGCCGACCGACGGATCCAGGGCCCGGACCGCGTCCAGCCGTGCCAGGAGAAGCTCCGGATCCGGGGTGCTGTGCGTGGAAACGACGGGAGAAATGTAGGCACACCCCTCGCAAGAGGCGGCATCACCAGGACGGGCATGATCTGGAACGAGGAAGCAAGGTCAGCATGAGAAGAAGCAAAGAGTCGGAGTCGGAGTGGGAGTCGGGGTCGGGGCCAGGGTCGGGGGGGGGGGGTGACCGGGACGAATAGCCTGACGTACTGGCCTGCGTGGGGGACGAGGTAGCCGAAGCGGAGGAGGAAGGCGAGCACTGGGTGGCCCGACAGGAGGCGGGCAATTCATCAATGTCCCATAGGACGACTGAAAAGGGGAGGCCACTCTCACGTGTCAGACGGATGGCCGACGCGACGCAGTCTGTCTCCATGACTGCGGAGCCGACACGGCGGACAGTGCAAAAATGATGTTAATAACGCAGAAAGGACCTTGAGAAAGAGAGGCTGAAGAAAGTAGGGCGAAGGCATCGGTCGGAGGCAGGAGGAGAGTGGCAATGATGATGGGGATACGAACCATGGCGATAGTGCCGGCGCAGGAGGGAGAACTCCGATGCGCGAGCCTGGTTGATTGTCAGCAGGCAGGCTGAATCGGTGCCGGCGAGGCCACCGCCCGGGCCGCCGGCCGCCGAGCCCGGGCTCAGGGGAGTTGGGGAGGTGGGGGATGAGGCCCCGGGCAAGGGGTCCTGCGAGTCGGCCAGTGCCACCGAGCCATCTTGGCCCGTGACAAAGCCGCCGCTCCCGCGGAGGAGAATCACCGCACAGCGCTCGTTCATCGGGGTGCCAGGGAACGGCGCAGAGGGCGGTGGGGCGCGAAGAGAGGGGAGGGTGGTGGAGGAGGGGGGGAGACCGCCTCAGGCGCGGCAGGAGTAACCACGCACGCACACGCGCGCGCACACACACACACAC